AATAGTTAAGGAACAAGTCTATGTGTTTAATAATAAATATTAACAACCAAATTTGGACATATTATTACATAGCTTGTAATAAAAATAGCCGTACCTGAGTTACAACTCATAACAAAATTAATCAATAATCTGTACCATTCAAATGAACGGTTCATCTGTTGAACTAACTCAGTATAGTTGAGTCGTAACTATATACGCATAACTTAAGACTGAAAATCTAAAAAAATATGAATACTGAAGGATATTCACCACTTGTTGATAGTGGACCTGTTGATGTTTCAATATCTAAATAATATGCGTATCTGTTTCACCACTTAATTCATTTAAACCTGCACTTTGACCCACGTCCCACATCATGCCCGATCATTGCTTTTCATATTTACCCATCTAATATTATAATATATTAATTAATACACATGCATGTATTATTTGGTTAAAATCAGTACAAGGACTACGTCATATAGTGGCCTAAATATACGTGTATAAGTCCGAACGGTGCTTATGAAATGATGAATAAATAAATTATTAATATATTTGGTTCAAAAATAATTTGAGCATAGGAATACTACCAATGTATGCATATTATATATTATAATATATGTTTATAATGCACTAATCTAACCTAATTAATGATGTATATTAATTGTTTTATTGTTACAACATTCAAGCATGTATACCAGCTATCTATATACTAAATAATTTAATAATATTTAATAACAATGATAAAATAATATAATATTTACTATATGCTTTCAGGTTAAAATGAGTATTCCATTGTATTTACATGTATTAAATTGCATAGTTAATAGATATTTATAAGAGTTAACACCAACGTGTGCCATGAACCTGCGATAGTCTGTTCAGAAAGCAAGTCAATAGATTTTAGTATTCGATTTTCCACGTCGATTTATTTTAATAATAACAGTCGTTTCCTGGATACAAGGGTTTGGATGGTTTTCATAAATTGTTTTACATATTTGTTCTTGAAATTGATAACGCCTTCTCGACACCATTGTGATAGTTTTAGATTATTAAAAAGTCACAGTCGTTTGAAAATTCTAAAAATATCGTTCACTCATAATGTTATAATAATATATAGGGAAGAAAATTGACTGGTGAGTTTACATAACATATTTCAAATTTGTTGTGCGATGAGTCCAATCTATAGATCGTAAAATAACTTTATTCGTTTCGCCGGCACAAGGGTGTGTGAATAAAATATGTAAAAGTCATATAACTCATAAGTTATAACTTACAAGTAAGTAATAGCGCGTGAACGAAAGTGCTATAATAATAGTTGCTTTTCGGGAAACAGCGTTTTAGAGTGGTTTTGCGGAACGACACATAATATTATTCTGATTGGCGTTTATTATTATTTCGTACTATATCGTCACCGTTATGACTGTTGAAACATTTTCAAGACACGCTCAGGAAGATTGAACGGTGACACCGACGTCACTACATACGATGATATTTTATAAATGACTGTGTGGCACCGACGATAGGATATTGCAGTAATCGCTCTTCTGTTTGTCAACACTCAGCCATTAGCCAATTTATTTATTATTTACAAGTGATTAAAACCGTTCAGTTTTCCAGTGTAGTGAAAAGTTTAGATTAACACGCGGATCCGATATTGAACCGTCGCGGTTTTTATGATTGTTAATCCTTAGTGCGGTCGACCGATTGTTGTTTGAATTTTGGTTTATGATGACATATTATTATTACGCGGTGAAAGCGTCCGACAATCAAACGCTTTGCCCTGTGTAGTCTATCCAAGCGATACAAGAATAATTGACTGCAGGCATGACAAAATATGTCTAACGAGTATAGTTTTGTTTGGCAAAAAAAAAAAAGGGCCTCTCCGTATTTAACGACGACATGGTAGTTAATAACAATAATAATAATATTTACAATTTTTAGAACTAAATTATTATTGACCGTAAGTTCCTATGTATAGGAAAAATACTGAAATTCTAAAGCAATGTAATATTATACATTTTTGGGCAACGATAAGAAATAACAGCAGGTACTATTCAATATTCGTAAGTAAAAAGTATTTTTAAGATATTTAGTGTTCGGATTGTATTATCAAGACTGTTTAGAGAGGATCCGAAAACTGAATAAAAGTAACAACGATATTTGAGCTGTCTTAATTTTTTATAATTCGCAGTCGATTCCCGATAACCCAAAAGTCTCAATAATTTGAATTTTTTTATTGGCTCTTGAAGTGTTTTTAAGATGTGTTTAAGATATATAACTCGAAAAATACATAGGTCAAATTTATTTTTATTCTCCTACAGATTCGAGTTATCGGGACTCGACTGTATGACAATAATATTACGTTTAAAATATTATGATATTGTAACGCAAATAAATTTTGAAACGATTTGGATTCAGAATGTGTTTGATATTATATAATATTATTATTATTAAAATTGTTTTTGTAATTTAATGGCACCCGTCGTCGCAATGTCGTCAAGATTTCCAATTAATTTTAACTCTGGCACAACGTTCTGATTTTATCGCTTGTACGGTTTGAAAATGAAAGTAATGATTAAAAAATATGATTTCGTATTTAGTTTAACACTTAAAAGTTTGGTCAGTACCAAACGGTCGCAATATACATCGGTATATTAAATTATGCTGACGGCTATCGTTTCACGAATTCAATGTGAACACCTAAAGTCCACTTGTCTTCCACCGAGAGTGTTGAACGATGACATGAGTTATTGAGAGTCCTACAACGGTCCACTGTCGCTGATGCGTTGGTCAAAACTTTCGTCCACATATAGGTAGATAGGTATTATATTCGAATTTCAAAGAGATCGTCTGATTTTAGTTTCCAGGCAAATACACACCACCTCAGAGTTTCGTGGGAAACGCGATTATAATATTATTATAAACTAGTGTTGGTACCAGTAGTATAGCATAATATCTATATAATATTAAATAACTTTGGTTTTCATTTATTTCATTGTTGTTGCCATTGTGCCGTGTTTGTGATAACTGAATATTACAACTATCGAAATTCAAAACAATTATACCGGAAACTGTAAGAAAAATCGTGACGACAAACATATATTTTTACATTTCCAAAACTGCAAAAATTTAACTATAATATTATGCATAATATATGCCTTTTAAGTTGAAACGAGACAGACTCAATGGAAATCTTCGAAGGGGGGAGGGAGGAATATTTCCACGTGCTTTCCAAGTGCAACGAGATTCTTAAAGTATAATGTACGAATTATATGCAGGACGACGACACGAATTTTGCGGCTCATACAAGAGGTGTGGAGTGCACGTGATATTATTTTTATATTGTGCCAATAAAATGAATCTATCGCCGACGATACACACTGCTTCTGTTGCAATTAAATCGTTTAAACTCTGAATAATTCGTTTTGTCTAGGGTCAGTGAAAAGAGTTTTGTGGAGGACTTAAAATTGTTTTTCCGTCGACGAGCGTTTGGCCTGATACGAGACTTCAAAGTGGGTTCAGCAAACGATATACATAATAATATTGTATAGAAAGCGATAATACAGAAAATGTAAGTCCGTACACTGCTATGGTAAAACCATAAATGTGTAACCATTATTCCCATACGAGTAAAAATTATTTATGTTAGTGCACTGGGTCAAATTCTAAATAGTTCAGAGTTTTTACCTATAAAATATATTGGATAAATTTCCTTCCCTATCTATCTTGACTCAGGACACTGACAACTCAAATTTCAATAGCTAGTTATGGTGTGGGTAAAATTATAAAAATTATAAATAACATTAATAAAATATAATAAGTAGGTAGATAGACCTAATATTAATATAGTATTTTTTTCCAAACATTTATTATTTTTATTATCTGTAAGTAAATATTTATGTTTTTCAAAGTGTCGTATTTTACCAATACCAAAAATATCTTCAATTATTGTCAGACCTGAAGCTAAGTTATGTGAGTATCAAATGTATCTAATTCTGTGTACTAATTATATTTAATTAAGTACTTACATTTTACATTTTGACGCAGTGTAGGAACTAACATATATAATTTAAAGAATTCCAAGTATAGGAACAGATGCCATGATTTACTAGATATAGGACACATGATAGAATGTATGTTACCATATATACCACAGAGAATACCATATTATAGTAATTAAGTTGAGTACCTATGAGTTCCACTAAGTTACTAAGAGTCAGTTCCGGTGAAAAACTATGTATACTCATATCATATTAAAAGCTATACTATACTTACTACCATACCATACCGTCATGTACTGATCAAAGTTATTTTGTTTATGAAATTAATTTTCAAAACATTTCATCTATATTTTATTATTTTTATTGACATGCCACATACATACCGGAGATATTAGACCTGTAACCGTGGTGTACCTAAATTGCCTATCCACAACGCCATGTGATGAAATTGTGGGCTAAAAAATAATATAAAGAGGGATGCAATAATAATATGTAGAAATACATTATATATGCATATAATATATTTTATGTTTTTCAAGTAAAATGATTAATAATTAACATATTAATATGTGTTGATTGGGAGGGGGGTACTAGAATCTCGATTCTAGTCTTGATGAAACTATCTTATAGTAGATACCTACTTAGGTAGTTGCGTCGTCGGTTCAAACGGAAAAAAAACAGAAAAAAAGGTACCTACTGTAACAGTACGCCAGCGCACAACATAAAACGGTCCTTTTCAGGACCGACCAATCAAAATGCAGTATTACCTCGCAAACGACCAGGACAACTTGGAACCCACATTACAGGGCCCCAAGTTGTTCCAGACACATAATTTCTAAGTATAAACGTAGGGGACGCTGCCACGATGCAAATGACCGAAACCCCGTACAAACAGCCCCAAAGCGGGATGAACAAGATCACTTTCCTTACCGAATATAAACACAACCACACATGTGCATAGCTTACAAGTCGGTACGAGAGACAGTATATATACCGGACAATTTCGGGAACACATCATCAGTCATCATTCAACCTTCTATCCAGTAACCACAACACTTTGAAGAAACGAAGAGCTGACCACCCGACGAAACCCTCCACCAGACGACGACGAGCAGCCAATCGTGAGCCAGCCGTAATTCGCTTCCGAATCGAATTACCCAAGCCCACCGTTACCGCCGCATTGCCGTTCGCCACTGACCAGCTCGACCGGCAGTTCAAACACCAACAGTCTAAACCACCATCGCCGACGACGTGCAAAGCAACTGCTTGACGAGGACCGGCTGTAATTCGAGGCCAGATCGAATTACTTAAGCCCGCCATCAAACAACATTTCCGCACGCCGCTGATCGCCAACACACGTGGCCCAGCGCCCCGTGGTCGACCGCTACCCGCCGACGACCACTGAAAGTCCACCTCTACCATTCACGAGCCGATCCAGAACTCAGCGAGGCAATGTGAACGACGACTCGCCGACACGCCTGAAGTACCAGGAGCTCCGCACTCAGTGAGTAACTGTCAAAAGAGCAACCGCCAACACCGACTCCATCGATCAAGAGTCGACGAACCTCTCCGTCCCCCCATCTGGCCACTCGATCGAGTTGTGTCAAACCCCGGTTACGGTATATCGCTGTAGCCACTTCTAACGAATCAACGATATATCGACCTCGTCCGTACGGTGATTGTAACACACCGACATTCCCAACATCTCCCTATCATTTTATATATATTACCAGGCTTTCACCGGTCGCGCTGAGCTCTCACCACGACGGTCCGTCTATTCAGGCCAGCCGTAGCACCTGTGAATCTCTCTACCCCTATTTTGTATATAAATATATTTGTCGATAAATAAAGGATAAGACGTAATATCAAAAACCTACGCTTTCTTACTCCGGACGCCGGTCCGTATAGTGACCGTGCCGTCTCACTACTTGGGTAATTTTGAAATTTCAAAAACAATATTATGGTATAATAGACATTATACTTAATTTGACCCACTCTGACTGCTGTTATCATAATATTAAGCATGATAACTGTGTTAAAATGAAATTAGTAGATTTTATTATGACCCGCAGTAAATAAAGAACGTCACCATGAAATTGGATAAATATTATTAATTGTTATACAATAATCAGAATGAACCAATGTGTTATGTGGATTACTTATCGTTTTAGATTCTGAGTGGAACGATTAAGATATTGGTTGTACAATATGGTGTTTATTTATTTATTTTTTTATATCCTGTATACAAAATTTCTACCAGAAGGAGTGCTTCGATTTTAACATATAGTACCTTATATTTTAGAAAATTGGATCAAGATGGTACTTTAAAGAGGTAATTTTTCGATTTTATCAATAGTTATTTAATTCCACTTGAAAAACCACCTAAAAATGGGATTTTAATTTACAACGGTTTGTTCATCACCATACAAACGAAAAAAAATAATGATATTATAATATTAATTGAACTTACATGATATATAATAACTAATATTACAATATAAAATATCCAGACTGACAAACCGTCTCCGCTCAGAATCGTTTTTCTTATACAATGATATTATATCATTGGCTTCAAGCTTAATACAATCCATTATACAATAACCTACTTGTAACCTACTGTACAGCAGAGCGACATCCACTTTCTCGCTTTTTTTAATATTATACACATTACACATTCAATATCCAAAATGTTTTAATCGGTTGATTTAACGTTGAATTTTCAACATTGTTTTCCGTAATCGCGCGACCAACGACCGCGGTAAAATGTTCCTTTTCCGTAAAAACGAAATTTTCAAGCCTAGTGATTTTGGTAACCGATTCGCATCGGCCGAGGAAATATGTGTCGGAAAAAAAACCATTCGTACACTTCTGTCTCTCTATACAATATACGTTCCGTGCAGTTCATTCTCAATGGCCGGCCAAGGATCTCGCTTAAAATATTATTGTTTATTATACGCGATTTGTCATTAGGCATAACGGGCAGAGTCGCGTTTCCATGAACATATACATCGCTCCTACCAGTCAACTGCCAAGTGCTGAGATGAAACGAGCGCAGTATACCTTTATTGGCGTACCTACCTATATTATAGTTCGTTAATTTTAATGGTGGAGCGCTACATTATGTATATATATATAATATATATATTATGTAGTATGACGTTATTTTTCTAAATTTACGAGACCCGTCAAAATGTGTTTTTATTATTTTTATTTCGAAGCTATCTTGACGTCTCTTTTGATGATTGCGCGGCCATTTCAACAGAGTAATATTCAGGAGACGAAAAACCTTGTCACTTCAAACGGCCAACTGCAGTCAATGGTTCGTGATGAGAGCATGTCTGATTGAATCGCTCCTGCTCCCCTCCCCTCCCCTTACCAATCAGGACAATAAGATAATACAATAATAATATTGTTATTGCGATCGTCGTCATCATTTTTTCTCCTCATCACACTTCATCTTGCCACATGCATGCTGACTCGGGAACAATATTAATATCACGCACTACCACGGTGCACCGCAAAAAGGAGATTCCCTTATGGTATATAATTCTGATGGATAGTAATACAACTTCTTGTTTCGGTGTTATTATTATTATTAATTTGGGATTCTAAGCGGAGCTATGAATGGTAGGTATTGATTTTACAATTGTGTGTGTCATCACGTTTTGTATCAGGAAGTTAGCTCAAATCCCCATCGTTGAAGGCGATTTCTGGTAGCAAATAATTCTATCTGATTGGTACTTTTGTTTGGGGGCTCAAAAATTGTTTTTCAGCTTCAGCAATTTTGATGGTGTGATACTAGTTTGTTACTTTACTATGCAATAAGTATAAACGGCAATAATTACACAAAATCTGAAGTTTTCGACGAAATCGATTTTCTTATTTTGAATCCGCAAATCGTATATAGGATTTGACGATCATAAAATTAATACGAATTACTATTATCATTATAAATACAAACAGGATAATATCTGAAAATTATGTACTTTTTCATTATCGTAGATTTAGATGTAAATTCGAATACTGAACTGATAAGGTTTTTATTTCAACAGACATTTTAATATTTTATCGTGAATTTTTTATTATTACAAAAATATTAATACTTATTGAAAAAAAAATAATTTTCATTGTTTAACTAATCACTTAGGTACTACACAGCCGATCTATTTAAACAATCCATTCTTGTAATATCCTCTTGTATTTTTTTTATTAAAAAAATATACCTACGAATTTAACCTTTTTTTCCACTTCTTTTAATAAAGCTTTTATTTTACATTAAACCAACAAATTGTCTACACTTTCGTAAACAACGCAATCTTTACATTATTATAGTACATAATATTGTAATTTATACAAAACCTGTTGTTGTAAAGAGTTTTGATCTCACATTTTTTTATATAATATAGTAGGTACTAATTCAGTTATCCAGAGTTCAGGTAGTAGGTTGTACGTTCATTTTCCGATTAGATTTACTAATTTTCTTTGTTTATAGAATAGATTTAACAATCAAAGTTTCTGAAAATGTGTTCATGTTTTAACAGATTGACGTAACTTGCATGTAAAGTGTAGTCAGTTTTATATGATAAATTTTCATATAATAGACATTTAACTATTGTCAAAATTATTATCGTCATAAATTAATTGTATTCGATAAAAATTTGGATTTGAGTATGAGATGATTATAATATGCTTGAAAAAAAAATACGAACTCATTATAAATAATTGATATCGCATTTGTGCTGTTCATCATAGTTCGTTTTTGTATTTTAGTGATGTCAAGGGCATATTTATGAGTACATTTTTAGTACATAATATGTACGTTATAATTTAAAACTATTTCGATAAACCAATAGAATAATAACCACTGCAACGACTATTTGCCTCGTGTAAGGTGCATTGTGCATACATTTATATTGATATTTTCATTATGCCTAATGTTATAGAGTTGTGTAGTGTATGTCTAGTGTGATTCTTATAACGATACATGATAAAAGTAATTTATTGTTATTTTTAATGACGCATCCATAAAACTTATACTTGACCACAAAAAGTTTTGTACTTAAAGATTTTGGGAGATAATATGAGTGGGTGACATTAGAGGGTTGGAATTTGAGGAACACGAATGGTTGTTATTACGTTTGGTTTTCCCTTTGTATGGTATTATGCAGACAGCGTAATGGTCAGTTGTACGAAACATAAAAACAAAAAGTACTTATAGTCTATAGCTGATAACAATAATGTTTTATTTTTTTTCTTATAGATTGGAAACCTTTTTCGTTTTAAACGTTCACAACACTTAATTTAGACATTTTTATCAATGTATAGCGTTGCATTAAGATATCTACAAAAGTATGTGGACCGTAGAATTTTCTAAGACTATATAATATAATATTTACCTAGTGCTGTAGTGTTTAAACTGTTTAAAGTTTAATTTATTTATAAAGTTATCTTTTTCACTGTTTTGGTATTTTCTCCAGTTACATCCAGTTAGTTATATATTGATGAATTCAGTGGTTAATTAGTTGTAACCAACAAATAATACCAATGATGTATAGGTATTACCATTGTATTGCATATAGGTGCGTGCTCATAGTTTGCAATCCTTTAAATGTTTAATAACAAGCCTAACTTATCTGAAAACTAATACTTTTGTTTTATAAACCGAAAATTCTCGGCACGAAAACCCTCCTTGTTTCAAGATTAAAACGTTTTTGGTTTCAGGATTCAGAAAACATAAGCTATAACTCGATAATATAATATCCTAAGTGTCTATCTTCGTCGTAGAACTAATGAAAAGTAATAAATAAACCCTCTTATGTGTTAATAGCTTATGAAATTCCTTCAATGCAATTAAAAACGTATAATAACATGTCATTAGCTATCATTCAAAAAACCTCACGTGCGAGGTGGCAAAAAAAATATTAACCTATTACCAATGCGGCAAAGCATTGAATATTTATACAATATTTCAACAAAACGTATTGAATTTTGATTTCATTTTTTCTTCAAAATGGGACATGATAAAGCTTTGAAATTTTAAAATTTGTTTCTTTAAATCATTTTTTTTTTTTTGGTGTATCCTGAAAAATCTGGTGTTTACACATAGGAGGTTATTTCGTGCGAATGACGATATTTTCCTACATAATAAATGTGCATTAGATATATTTTAAAGTTTTGATCTCAAATAAATCCAAACTATGAACTCACCTGCAAATGCGTTTATTACTCCCACCTACCCTATACGGCTATAATATATATTATGCATAATGGAAAACGGTTTGTTTATTGTGATGTAAACTATAATTAATTACTCTTGTAGTATATTGTACTCGGACGGAAAAAATAGACACTTGCACTGACAAACAGCTATATATAACAATATAAAAACTGCAGTCGTTTTTTTAACACCAGTGCACTTATTT